AAAATTCTAATTTGTCTAGGTCCCCCTGTATCCTATCCCTACCCTCTAGCGTATCTACCACTCCTCCCAGTTTAGTGTCATCTGCAAACTTGCTGAGGGTGCAATCCACGCCATCCTCCAGATGATTAATGAAGATATTGAACAAAACCGGCCCCAGGACCGACCCTTGGGGCACTCCCCTTGATACCAGCTGCCAACTAGACATGGAGCCATTGATCACTACCCGTTGAGCCCAAAGATCTAGCCAGCTTTCTATCCACCTTATAGTCCATTCATCCAGCCCCTACTTCTTTAACTTGCTGGCAAGAATACTGTGGGAGACTGTATCAAAAGCTTTGCTAAAGTCATGGAATAACATGTCCACTGCTTTCCCTTCATCCACAGAGCCAGTTATCTCATCACAGAAGGCAATTAGGTTAGTCGGGCATAACTTGCCCTTGGTGAATCCATGCTGACTGTTCCTGATTGCTTTCCTCCCCTTAAGTGCTTCAAAATTGATTCTTTGAGGACCTGCTCCATGATTTTTCCAGGGAATGAGGTGAGGCTGACTGGCCTGTAGTTCCCCGGATCCTCCTTCCCTTTTTTTAAAGATGGGCACTACATTAGCCTTTTTCCAGTCATCTGGGACTTCACCAATCGCCATGTGTTTTCAAAGATAATGGCCAATGGCTCTGCAATTACATCAGCCAACTCCCTCAGCATCCTCGGATGCAGTCCATCCGGCCACATGGACTTGTGCTTGTCCAGCTTTTCTAAATAGTCCTGAACAACTTCTTTCTCCACAGAGGGCTGGTCACCTCCTCCCCATACTGTGCTGCCCAGTGCAGTAGTCTGGGAGCTGACCTTGTTCGTGAAGACAAAGGCAAAAAAAGCATTGAGTACATTAGCTTTTTCCACATCCTCTGTCACTAGGTTGCCTCCCACATTCAGTAAGGGTCCCACACTTTCCCTGACCACCTTCTTCTTGCTAACATACCTGTAGAAACCCTTCTTGTTACTCTTAACATCCCTTGCTAGCTGCAACTCCAATTGTGATTTGGCCTTCCTGATTTCACTCCTGCATGCCTGAGCAATATTTTTGTACTCCTCCCTGGTCATTTGTCCAAGCTTCCACTTCTTGTAAGCTTCTTTTTTGGGTTTAAGATCAGCAAGGATTTCACTGTTAAGCCAAGCTGGTCACCTGACATATTTACTATTCTTTCTACACATCGGGATGATTTGTTCCTGCAACCTCAATAAGGATTCTTTAAAATACAGCCAGCTCTCCTGGACTCCTTTCCCCTCATGTTATTCTCCCAGGGTATCCTGCCCATCAGTTCCCTGAGGGAGTCAAAGTCTGCTTTTCTGAAGCCCAGGGCCCGTATTTTGCTGCTCTCCTTTCTTCTTTTTGTCAGGATCCTGAACTCTACCATCTCATGGTCACTGCTGCCCAGGTTCCCATACACTTTTGCTTCCCCTATTAATTATTCCCTGTTTGTGAACAGCAGGTCAAGAAGCACATTGCCCCTAGTTGGTTCCTTCAGCACTTCCACCACGAAATTGTCCCCTACATTTTCCAAAAATTTCCTGGATTGTCTGTGTACTGCTGTATTGCTCTCCCAGCAGATATCGGGGTGACTGAAGTCCCCCATGAGAACCAGAGCCTGTGATCTAGTAACTTCTGTTAGTTGCCTGAAGAAAGCCTCGTCCACCTCATCCCACTACGACATCACTCTCGTTGCTCACACTGGCCACTAGGCTACACAGCCCTGACTAAGGAGGCAGCCATATTGACTCTGGCCACTAGGCCTGGCAGAGGAGGGCCGCCATATTATCACTGGCCATTAGGCTACGCAGCCCTGACTAAGGGGGTAGCCATATTGACCCTGGCCACTAGGCCATGCAATCCTGCAGCCATTTTGACTTCAGCCATTAGGCCATTCTGCCTGAGGCTAGGGTGGTCATTTGGACTCAGGCACAGGGCTATAACACCCTTCTCCCCTCCCCAATGGATGACGGGGTGTCCCCATGACATTCTCCCATAGTACTAGAATGAAAGCTATTCTGGACAGGTAACTTAGTAGAATTTTAGGTGGTCAAACTCAGAGATCTTTACTAATAGTTCAAACAACCACCCATAGATCTAATATTCCCTAAATTGCTAATATCAGTGTTCATTGATCCTGACTGTTATATCCCATTGAGGACAAGTGGGTATAAAAGAATAAATGTTTTAAACAGACTCACTGTCAAGTGGTTTTGTAACATATAGTACTGAAGCAGAATACAGAACTCCAAGAAAGTGAAAAAAATGTATATATTTTCTTTTTCTCATGGGATTTTTTCCCCTGACTTCTGACCTATGCTGTCTCCCTCCTCCGCTTTATCTCATTTTTGTCCTGACCACCTCCTTTATATCCCCTACTCTATTCTCTTGCCAAGCTATTTCCTTCCTTCATTTCTTGTACTTTTGGTATCTCTCTCCTCCAAGTTTTGCCCTCTGATGGCCCTCAACACTGCATTAAGCTATACTGGCAAAAGCACAGTTTTGCCAGTTTAAGCTGTGTCCACACTTTGAGTGCTTTGATATGGAATACCACTACAGCTATACTGGCAAAGCCCTTCCAAGTGCCAGCCTGACCCTAAGGTTTTAACAGATATGCCCTGTCTCCCAAAACTGAACAGGCTAGTTCTCCTACAACTCTAACAAGCTTGGGACCTGTCTACTTCAGACACTGCCTATCTCCCTTTTCCATAATGCAACACTGGATACCTCTGGACTTAAGAGAGAGGGACTGGGGATAAAGAATCCTATGTGAACAGCCCTTCGCTTTGGAACCAGCTTCCTTAGCTTTGGTCCAAAATAGTCTTATTTGTTCATCTCCTGGGCACAGTGAAAGGCTTATCTTTTTTACTCAGGCTTTATGGAAGTTGACATTTTGTGAGTAGAGATCTGATCTGTTTAGCTGACAGTGAGTTGCTGAGGGCTATGTGCAGGTTATTGGAGCGTGTTTACCTGCTAGGTTTAGTTGTTAATTTCTTTATATGTTCGTTTTCAAAATAGGTACCTTTTTTGTATATTTTGTATACACCAAAAAAAGGCAAGGAAGGATGAAAGAGAGACAGTGTTACTGTTATTTCTGCTTTTAATTTGGAAGACACTCTGATAGGTGACAAGTGTCATAAGTACAGGGATAAATAAAATCATTCTTGTATGGCTACATTCTGCTCACTTCACTCACACAAGTAATTCCACTCTTATAGCAATGGAACTATATGAATGAGTAAGGGGATAGGATTTGGTCCATTTGGCTATTGAACCATTCAATAGCTACACAAAACTGAGTAGATACTCTGCGGATAGGCACTGTAGAAAACTAAGATAAATCACTAGTTTTATGCTGCACTACTGCTGTATTAGTAGCTGTCTTTTTCCTGCTGGGTTTCTGTATGAAGAGCTGCTTTTTTACGATATATCACTTTTGTTCCCACATACTATTCAGGGTATTTTCACCACTGAAGATTGAAGTCCTTGCATCATAACTATCATACTTACATCAGGATGTCCTGCCACCTTGATTAATTCAGCAACAGCATTCTTAACTGAAGCTGGGTCTCTCACATCACACTGGATTGCATGAACCTATATATTAATGGAGAAAAAGGCAATTGTAAGACTTTATAAAAGTATTACTCATGAGACAAAGAATTATAAAAAATGCTTTAAAATGCAAAAATAATAAAAATACAAACATATCTACAAATGTACCTTGTTTCCTGTTTTAGAAGAAATTTCTTCTGCAGTTTGTTTCAAAACATCGATCTTCCTAAAAATAATTATAAATTTTAGGATGAATTCTGAGTTTCCACTAAATGCATCTATGTTACAAATCATTACACTTTGAAACATTAAAATCTTTCTATGAATTCCATTTGTGTGTTGGTGATTTTAGTGCAAAATTTACCTTTGAACTAAAATAATTTAGGGGCTTGGTATTTCAATTTAGCTTCTGAAAAAACCTCTCTCAAGTACAATGGAGCTTTAAAGAAATTCCAAGTTATGTCCAACAAAGTAATCTTCTTTCATATTATCAGCTAAAAGCAACTCAGACGGGACTTAAAAAAGAGATACTTTTGATAGTAAAACACAGCAGGTGATATTTAACAAAAAATGCCTTCATCCTGGGCACAATGAAATTTAGCAAAGACGAATGTAAGGTGCTACCCTTAGGGAAGAAAAACCAAATGCAAAAATACAGAACAGGGGATAACTGGCTTGGCAGCAGCATCGCTGAAAAGGATCTGGGAGTTGTGGCGGATCACAAGCTCAACATGATTCAACAATGCAATGCTGCTGCAAAAAAAAGCAAATGCAGTTTTAGGTTGCATTAACAGAGGCATAGCATGTAAATTTCATTTCGAAATGGGAGGTGATAGTAGTGCTCTACTCAGCAGTGGCTAGGCCTCAACTGGAGTACTGTGCCCAATTTTGATCATCAATGGATAGAAAGGATGTAGAGAAAGTGTAAAGTATCCAAAGGCAAATGACAAAGATGATCAAAGGGACAGAATGTAGACCATATGAGCAAAGGCTGAAAGAACTGGGTATGTTTAGTTTGGTAAAGAGGACATGAAGGGGGGAACATGACAATGATCTTCAAATACTTGAAAGGCTGCCATAAAAACGATGAGAAAAGTTATTCTCTTGCCACAGAGGGCAGGACTAGAGGAAATAGGTTCAAACTACAGCATGGCAGATTTAGATTAAATCTCAGGAAAAATTTCCTAACGGTAAGAACAGTAGGACAATGGAACAGACTTCCTAGGGAGGTTGTGGAAGCTCCTTCACTAGAAGTTTCAAAAGGAGGCTGGATAGCCATCTGTCTTGGACGGTTTAGACAACAGAAATCCTCCATAACACATTTGGCACCTAAACGACATGTTGGCAGGGGGTTATAGTAGACTGTTCTATGATTCTAAGTATTTTATTTAGGGCTGTCAATTAATCGCAGTTAACGCCTGCGATTAACTGAAGACATGTTAATCGCATACCTTTGGGCAGGGAGGGACGCATTAGCGGTGGCCCCAGCTCAGAGCGTCAGGTGGGCTGGAGGGGAGTGGGTTCCAGCCCGGAGCTCTGGAGGTGGGGAGGCATGGCGGTTGGGCTGGAGCCCCGCGCCCTGAGAGCAGCTGAAGCCTGGTGCCCTCACAGGGGCTGGAGCCCGGAGCCAAGACGGGGGACTCGAGCCTGGAGCCCTGCACAACGAGGGGGGCTGAAGCCCAGAGCCCCCAAGCCTATTTTTGAAAATACAGAAAACTTAAAAAATATTTAAATAAATGGTATTCTATTATTGTTTAGCAGTGCGATTAAAACTGCGATGAATCACAATTAATTTTTTTTAATCTCGCAATTAGTCATGTTTGTGTTAACTTGAAGGATGAGATTATTTGCTCCTATTATGCTGGAAATCTTAGAAAGATCATTTTTAATAATGAGAATTATGCTAGGGCTGCTGTAAAATCCTGATGTTTAAAAGAAATACTAGCTATAGGAAATAATAAAAAAACCTGATAAGATAATTCTAATGATAAAATCACAATGGCCATTGCTGTCCATTTAAAAAGAAATTTGTTGACTTATCATTTTGTAAGCATCTAGATGATCATAGCCAACATAAATTTGTCAAGAATAAATCATGCCAAACCAACTTCATTTCCTTTTTTGACAGGGTTATTGGCCTAGTGGATAAGGGGGAAGCTGCAATGTGATATACCTTTATTTTAATAAGGGTTTTGACAGTCCCGCATGACATGATCATAAACAAACTATGGAAATTTAGTCTAAATGAAATAAACATAAGGTGGATGCACAACTGGTTAAAAGACTGTATTCAAAGCAGGGTGGATAAAAATCAATGATTTTTTTTAAATAAAAAAATCGGATTTTTATTATTTAAATCGAATTTTTTTGATAAAATGCTTTTTGAGGGAAAAAACCTATCTGAAGATCGACAACAATGTACTTTTATGTAGAAATCCATGATTAAATTGAGTCTTCCTGACTAGTGATTTAAATCAAATACACCCTGATTCAAAGAGTAGTTATCAATAGCTCGCTGTCACACTGGAGTGAATATATTGAGTGGAGGTCCGGAAGAGGTCTGTCCTGGGTCTGGTGCTATTCAATATTTTCATTAATGACTTGGATAATGGAGTAAAGAGTATGCTTATAAAATATGCAGATACCACCAGGTTGGGAGCATTGCTAGCAGTTTAGAGGACAGGATTAGAATTCAAAATGACCTTGACAAATTGGAGAACTGGTCTCAAATCAACAAGAAGAAATTCAATAAAGACAAGTGCAAAGTACTATGCTTAGGAAAGACAAATCAAGTGCATAACTATAAAATGGGGAATAACTGGCTAGGCAGTAGTATAGATGTAAAAGATCTGGCATTTATAGTAGATCACAAATTTAATGAGAGTCAATGTGATGCAGTTAAAATAAGGCCAATATCATCCAAAGGAGAGCAACAAAACTGATAAAAGGTTTAGAAAACCTGACCTACGAGGAAAGGTTAAAAAAACTGGGCATGTTTTGTCTTGAGATAAGAAGACTGAGTGGGGACCTGATAACAGTCTTCAAGTATGCTACGGGCTGTTTTAAAGAGGATGGTAATCAATTATTCTCCATGTCCACTGCAGGAATGGGCATAATTTGCAGCAAGGGAGAAGTATACCTGGTCTAGGTATACTTGGTTCTGCCATAGGGCAGGAGGCTGGACTAGATGACCTCCTGAGGTCCCTTCCTGTCTACATTTCTATTATTCGCCTCTCTTCTCCCCACCCATTGGATTTGCAATAGAGGTGAAGTGTACCTGGCTTTTTTTGTTTTACTATACTTTCTGATTGTGTACTATCATTATGACTTTAACTTGTATTTCATCTCATTGAAGGCTATGCGGCAGTCAAGCACAAGACATTACAGGTCTTACATAAATACTAACAATTTTAAATATATTTATACTCTGCAATGTGTTTGTGTATGTTTCAGAGCAGCTTTTTAAAATTTAGCACATCAGATTATAATTAAAATGGTATTGCAGGTTAAGAGACAGACCTAAATTACATGTCTGTAGCTACGAAATAAAAATATGTATCGTTATGTATTGTTTATGAAGGAACAGGGAAGCAGATCAATGCAGCTTTCAATACTAAATTTAAAAAGATTTTTTAGGTTTGATTATTAGTATTTACCTGCTTGATATAACACATTCGGCACCTAAACTGGACAGAGCTGTTGTCATTCCTTTGCCAAGCCCAGTACCTCCACCAGTAATAAAAGCCACTTTTCCTTGAAAGGCATTTGGTGGTAACATCATTTTTTGAAGAGGTGGAAAGAAGCTAGCTTGAGGTACGTTGCTACTTTGACTTAATACATTTGATCCATGACTGAAAAACTGAAACAAAAAAATAAAATTATTTATTACTGCTTATATACATGGATTCCCACAACTATCATAAGAAAATTAAGTTTTCAGTCTCGGAATTATAATAATAAATATTTTCACAATGGACACAAATTCACTGTGAGCAATAATTTGATATTTATTGCATCACAATACACGTGAATACTTTTAAACAAATATGAATATTAAAGTAATTTTAATTTTTAGGGTAAGTTAATAGACTGCAGTAATTTCCACTACATTTTCAAATGAAATAAATAAAATATGTTTTTCAACAGTTAAGTGATTTTTGTTCTTTTGAACATTGTGCCCAGTTCTGCAATGATTACTCACGTAGGCCCCAATCCTAGACTGGGATTCATTAGTGTAGACCCATCAGCTGTCTGTAGATCCCAAAGCAGGATTGAAGCCTTAGACCCTGATCCTGCAAAGACTTCTGTATGTGCTTAACTATATGCATTGTGAGTAGCTTCACTAAGTCAGCAGGACTACTCATGGTATGTAAAGATAAGTAGATGTATGTCTTTGCAAAATTGGGGCCTGCAGTAGTAGCTACCCAAGGCCTTGATCCTGCACCACTGAAGTAAATGGAATTCTCATTATTGGCTTCAACGGGAACAGGATCAAGCCCCATACAACTAATCCCATTGGTTAATGGAACTACTTGTATGAGTAAGGCTTTTATGACTAGAACCTTTATTATAGGTGGAGCAGGAATCACTGCCTATTATTAAAGTTGTCTGACACATCCCATTATAACACCCTTTTATGAGTTGCTTATAATTTTGCCAGTTTTAACAGTTTGAGCTGAACATTTTTATGCTGGGTGTCTGCTTCAAGCTGAAGGTTTTTGTAAAATTTCAGCCAAAACAGTTCAACTATTTCTGAGAATGAGACTAGGAGAAAATATGATTTTTAACATTACGGCAGGGACTTGAAATTTTGCAGGGGAGCAGCCTTTGTGTCAGGGATGTGCTGAATCACAGTTCACACATGCTCAGTGAAGACTTGCTAGAGCTTAACAACTAACATATCTGAAGATTCCATCCTCAATAAGCATGCTCCATCCCTTCACAGCTCCCACATTTGACTAGACTGTACATGCACCAGCCCCATACAACAATTGAATATGCTCCATCCCCTCACAGGTTCTGCTTGTGACTGGACTGTGCATGAACCAATTCCATCGAGCAACTGAGCATGCTTCAGCCTTGGTCTGCAGAGCAAAGCTGGACTTCCCCTGTAATGGCTGCTTCCAGCAGCTGGGGTGGGACCACAGGGCACCGAAACTGAGAGCAGGCAGCCTGTTGGCCCCCAAGTGGCATGGAGGAAGAAGCCATCTGATTCAAGTGCAGAGGAGACAAGAACCACATCTAAGGAATTATGGAGGAGAGCTGTGGGAATAGATTGAAAGAAGGAGCCTGAGTCAGGAGACTAGGACTGGAGGCTGCCTGCGGATGTAGACTAGGGACTGGTTGGGCAAGGAGCCAAGGAGAGAAATGGGGTTGGGAGAAGACAGAGAACCAGTGCTTGGGGGGGGTGGGGGGAAGGAGGTGGAGTTGAGATCAGATGAAGAGACAGTAGGGGGAGACTGGGACTAGCGGGGTAAGGAGCCAGTGGAGATAGGGAATCTGGGGGGGTGAGGGTGGGAGTATTGAGGAGAAGGGGCAACTGGAGGCCATATCATAATTAAAGCTAAGATTTTGTCATGTGCATTTTTAGTAAAAGTCATGGACTGGACACGGGCAACAAACAATAAATCATGGAAGCCCAAGCCCTGGCGCCGACAACCCGAGCCCTGGCACCCGGGGCCGAAGTTGCAGAGGTCATGTAAAATCAGGGAATCTGTGACCTCCGTGACTGACTCGTAGCCTTAATCATAATGCATACACACAAGATTGCATAGGCAACCTTAATTCTGGCATTTCCAACTTCTGAGTGTTTGACTTTGCAACTCTTAATAATGTCCTTTTAACATATATTTTTCAAGTAATTTGTATAACAAAGGATGTATTGTAAATACTTGTAGATTTTTAAAAATTAATCATCACTAAGGCAATGCATAGAAGATGGTCAGTCATCATTTATGTAGATTTCCACAGTTTTCTAGCTGAAAATTAAAGAAATTAAGTTCTTGTTCTTGTATAAATATCATTTTCATTATTAAATTACATTAAAACTGGTTAGTTTTAATAAACACATTTTTAAAAACCCTCAAATACTCAGTTTTTTAAAATATGAAAATCAAAACAGTTTAAACTAGAAAATTAATTCTTGTGCTGAATCTTATGTTATCCATGGCAATGCTTAATGTTTCAGTAACCAACAAACAACAATTAAAATGAACTATGATTATAACTGCGCTTCAGTAATATGAATCCACTTTACAGTGAGTCTTAGAAGTCCCAAATCAGGATTGGGGACCCATTATGCTAGACCCTATACTATACTCCTAGATACGATAATCTCCTAAATTTAAAGCCTACCTTATCTACTCCAATGCAGAAACATGCCCAGGGTTATGCCAGTCTTATGTAACCCAGATGGCAGGAAGACTATCAATGAGAGGCTGAAGTGGTGTAAGTTGCCTGCTATCTCCCTATCACAGGGGAGCATGAAGAATGTCAATAGGGGCTCAGACTAGCCTCAAAATTGGGTGGTGCTGGAAATAGGCAGATCTTCCTTTTACAATTTCACCTTTAAAGTAGTACTGAGTGTCAGTGAATGCAATGAGTAATACTAAATGAGCAGTATGGTAATAATAATTAAATAACTGCATTGTCTTATTTTGTTTAGGAGAATCCACCCTCAACATACAGGATTCTGAAGACTATCCACCTTCAAGATCACCATCATTTTCTATAGCTTCAGAGTTATCTGCCAATGATAGTGTTTCAATCACATCATGTATGTCACATAGCCACAGTATATCACCTGTAGCAAAAAGAAAAATCTCCATCATCCAGAAACAACCATAGATAAGTGTTTGATAAGAACCAGCAGATTACAAAAAGAGGTAATTGATGAAAAAAATTGCCTGCTTTGTTTATGCAACAAACTCTCCTTTCCGTATGATTGAGAACCCAGACTTCATTAACATGGTTCAGTCACTAAGACCAGAATACAGTCCACCCAACAGAGCAGATGTCACAGGCAAATTGCTTGATAAAGTGTATGAAAGAGAAATTGAGCAGTGTGCAAAAGGTCTAGAGGGTGAAATTGTTAACCTGAGTCTTCATGGGTGAAGCAATGTCCACAATGATTCTGTTGTATGTGCTTGTGTGACAACAGAAAAAGGGAATGTCTTCCTTACAGAAACAATTGATACATCAGGAAACGCACACACAGCAGAATACTTACAAGAAGTAGCAGTAAAAGCTATAACAAACTGTGGAAAAAAAATTAAAATGTCTAGTGGCTTGGTCACACACAATGCCACAAATGTATCCAAGATGAGAAGAAATTATTTAGAAGAGAGCCCCAAGTTAAGAACATAT